ATCGAAGAATGGCAAAGGTTCTGAGCAAATGATTCAATGTGTTCAGCATACAGAAAGTAAGTCACTTGAGTCAGCTAGTCCCTTCACTGCACTCAAAGAGAATCCTTTTATATTGTAAGTAATTACATATTTTGGGTTATCACTGCAGTGATCATCTTAAAATATTTTCAGATATGACATTCACTATTTGCTTTCTCACATTTTTGTTACAGTATTCGTTTGGAAATTGGCCACTATAGGTGAATGTCTAGAGCAGTGGTTCTCAACCTTCCTAATGCCGCGACCCCTTAATACAGTTCCTCATGTTGTGGTGACCCCCAACCATAAAATTATTTTCGTTGCTACTTCATAACTGTAATTTTGCAGTGGGAGGACTAGCGCCCCATCACTGATGTCAGTGGGATGAATAGTGTCCCATCGTTGGTATCAGTGGGATGAATAGTGCCCCATCGTTGGTGTCAGTGGGAGGAATAGTGCCCCATCATTGGTGTCAGTGGGAGGAATAGTGCCCCATCATTGGTGTCAGTGGGAGGAATAGTGCCCCATCATTGGTATCAGTGGGAGGACTAGTGCCACATCATTGGTGTCAGTGGAAGGAGTAGTGCCCCATCACTGATGTCAGTGGGATGAATAGTGCCCCATCGTTGATGTCAGTGGAGGAATAGTGCCCCATCGTTGGTGTCAGTGGGGGAATAGTGCCCCATCGTTGGTGTCAGTGGGGGGAATAGTGCCCCATCGTTGGTGTCAGTGGGGGGAATAGTGCCCCATCGTTGGTGTCAGTGGGGGGAATAGTGCCCCATCGTTGGGGGGAATAGTGGCCCCATCGTCAGTGGGGGAATAGTGCCCCATCGTTGGTGTCAGTGGGGGGAATAGTGCCCCATCGTTGGTGTCAGTGGGAGGAATAGTGCCCCATCGTTGGTGTCAGTGGGAGGAATAGTGCCCCATCATTGGTGTCAGTGGGAGGAATAGTGCCCCATCATTGGTGTCAGTGGGAGGAATAGTGCCCCATCATTGGTGTCAGTGGGAGGAATAGTGCCCATCATTGGTGTCAGTGGGAGGAATAGTGCCCCATCATTGGTGTCAGTGGGGGAATAGTGCCCCATCATTGGTGTCAGTGGGGGGAATAGTGCCCCATCATTGGTGTCAGTGGGGGGAATAGTGCCCCATCATTGGTGTCAGTGGGGGAATAGTGCCCCATCATTGGTGTCAGTGGGGGAATAGTGCCCCATCATTGGTGTCAGTGGGGGAATAGTGCCCCATCATTGGTGTCAGTGGGGGGAATAGTGCCCCATCATTGGTGTCAGTGGGGGGAATAGTGCCCCATCATTGGTGTCAGTGGGGGGAATAGTGCCCCATCATTGGTGTCAGTGGGGGGAATAGTGCCCATCATTGGTGTCAGTGGGGGGAATAGTGCCCCATCATTGGTGTCAGTGGGGGAATAGTGCCCCATCATTGGTGTCAGTGGGGGGAATAGTGCCCCATCATTGGTGTCAGTGGGGGGAATAGTGCCCCATCATTGGTGGGGGGAAATGGTGTCAGTGGGGGGAATAGTGCCCCATCATTGGTGTCAGTGGGGGAATAGTGCCCCATCATTGGTGTCAGTGGGGGGAATAGTGCCCCATCATTGGTGTCAGTGGGGGGGCGAATAGTGCCCCCATCATTGTGTCAGTGGGGGGAATAGTGCCCCATCATTGGTGTCAGTGGGGGGAATAGTGCCCCATCATTGGTGTCAGTGGGGGGAATAGTGCCCCATCATTGGTGTCAGTGGGAGGAATAGTGCCCCATCATTGGTGTCAGTGGGGAATAGTGCCCCATCATTGATGTCAGTGTGGTGGAGGGGGAAATAGTGCCCCATCTTTGGGGTCAGGGGGGGGAATAGTGCCCCATCGTTGGTGTCGGTGGGGGGAGGAATAGTGCCCCATTCTTGGTGTCAGTGGGGGGGAGGAATAGTGCCCCATCGTTGGTGTCAGTGGGGGGGGGAATAGTGCCCCATCATTGGTGTCAGTGCGGGGGGGGGGAGGAAATAGTGCCCCATCATTGGTGTCAGTGGGAGAAATAGTGCCCCATTGTTGGTATTAGTCACACAAATGATGGGGATGGGGCACTATTCCTCCCACTGACACCAATGATACTTACCTTGCTGACCCCTGCTCCAGCCTGGCTCGCTCTCTCACTTACCTGTCAGCTGTCTTCCTTCTCTGGCCGCTCTCCTCTTTACTTACTCCGGCAGTTCCCTCGATCTTCTTAGATCTACGCGCGCTGCCGCTCGGCTCCTCCTCTCCAAGCTCCACCTCCTCGCCGGTGATTGGCCGCCTGTGTGCCTTTCCTGAGCTACAGTTCCGGTGGCCAATCAGCGGCGAGGAGGCGGAGTTGTTGAGGGATCCCGGAGGTGTGGCCAGGTGACAGGGCAGCGTGTCATCCCGCCCACACATTGACTGAGTCAGAGGAGCGGTGTCTCGGTTCCTAAGACCATCGGAAATATGTGTTTTCCGATGGTCTTAGGCGACCCCTGGGAAATGGTCGTTCGACCCCCAAAGGGGTCGCGACCCCCAGGTTGAGAACCGCTGGTCTAGAGGTTCATTGTAATTACATTAAAGATTGTCTAAAATTTGTTGACTGCTTGAGTAATCCCCTTTTGGGCTTTTTTTGTGATGCTGTGATTCTGCACACTACCTTTTTTAGTGCTTGTAGTTTACTCTAACATATTATGCATCTTCTTTTTTTTTTTTTCAAGACCGATCGTGCTTTACTTTAATTAATAGTAAAAATTTTGAAAAAAAAATGCATTATGCTGTAATTTTCCCAGTGCACGGTTTGATGTGATTTGTGCACCCCTTATACTGTATATTTACCCCCAAATCACATTAGTACACCTTCTATGTAGCAAAGTATAAAACTCAAAATGAATGTCTGTCTGTGTTTTTACTTGGTAGAGCTTTAGTCCCTTTTCACACATACGCAGAGGAAAAAAAAAATGTTTTACCTAAATTGTTAATGTAACATTAGGTTAAGATTAACTTGGGTTCACAACAGTGTAACATTAGGATGAGATTGTTGGATTGATGAGGGCACAAATTAACACAACAGTGACTTCATCACAGGTTTGTGATTGCTGATAATGTTGAATGACCTTACGTTCACTTATGTGAACAATTAATGCATGTGCAGTGAATGCAAATGTCATCCAGATAATCAGTCCCCGTTATTGTAACACTGTAATTCTATATGGGAAGGAATATTTTTAGTGTGTGTGTGTGTAAAATTTATATTTCAACAATGTACATTTTTTTTTTTTTTTACATGCACTGCAAATAGCAAAAAAATATTTTTAACCTACAGCTTAAAGTGAAACTACACTGCATCTGAACACCACAAACTTAAAACGTCATTTAATTCATTTTTAATATCCAAAGCAAACTCACCAATCCATCCATGTGTCCATGCTTTTTTGGTCATGGCCATCTTCAGTAAGGGCAGATGATTCATGTAGCATTTACTTCCTGGAATCCATCTGCACTTAGCTCAGTAATGCAGGCAGGAGGGTGTGCTGTGAAAACCACCTCCTGAAGGCTCCTGGGACATATGACATAATTTGCCTAGGCCTGGAAACCAGGAAGAAACTGAAGTAATGTGTTTTTTAAAAAAAAAAAAAGTTTAAAAACAAGTAAATATGATATACTTTCCTATCTATTTACTAATGCTAGCTGTATAAGGATTAAAATAGTCAGTGTTGATTAAGAGAGTGAAGTTTGATCTTTCCAGAATGCTAGAAGCTTTTGCAACACTTTTGAAGTTTCTCTCTTTTAAGCATTCATTCATGTTTGTGAAGCTCAACAAGGTCTTTCACTTGTGAAAATGGCATTGTGTATTGGTTAGTAGTAACATGATATATTTGCCCTGCAAAGTCAAATGACCCCTTGTTACCTTTTTGTAGTCCAAAATTAGAGATACGGGACATATTGCACTACATAACTGGTTTTGAAGACTCATTGTTTATTTAAATTACATTTTATCACGCTGCATATATTTTATATGGCCACGTAATAAGGTTATTCATCTCAAAGCCATAAAATTATTGTCTATGAAATTATATGCAGCATGTTTCATTCAAATGAGTTAATTAAAAAAAACATTTAAAGCGGTGAATTCTAGTTTGTATTTAATATTATGCTTGTCAGTGGTCAAAAGTTTCATCTAAGAAAACTTAGAAATGCATACATTAAAAAATGGCTCACATTATAAATCAAGAAGCTAATAAGGTTTACGTACGTGCAATAATAAGGGTATTAATCAAAACTGGTTACTTGAAGTGTTGACAACTAGCTGGAACATCTGAACTTGTGTAGCTACTTGTGCATTTCTGCACTCTTTATTGTACAGCCAAAAATAATAGAATGCAATTCATGAAGCTTACATCAAACTGTCACATTAATTTATTGGGAAACAAAACAAAATGTATCCTATTGCAGCTTACCTTTCATTCAGTGCAGTGCCTGCATTAGTTTTCATTTTTCAGGCTAAGAACATTTTAGCCCAGTATAGAAAATACCTGTTTTGTTTTGACTTGCCAGAAATATAGTGACCTTGTCACATCCTGCCTGTAACACACTTCCTGTACTAAGGTGACAATGCTCATTCACGGTACTGAATCTGTTGAGAAGCAGCATTGTTACTCAAGACAGGTAGTGTGTTCGTACAACAGGACACCTCATTTATCCTCCTCTCTGTAACTTGTGGAAATACGTTCTGTAGTCCGCAGAGAAACCTGGACAGGGCTGATAACAACTGTGCTTGATATTTCAATGCAGTACAGGCAGAGTGTACAAAAAGTTCCAAGCTCAGTGGATTTCCTGCAGGGTTACCAGATATTTTCTGCTTTGTGGCCTTTTGAATGCGACAAACTGGGGAAATGTGTAATTTTTTTTTTTTTGGCCACATATACACTTTTTAAGTAAGTCTTGTTAATGTTTTTTATAAGATTATGAAAACTTACATTAAGAAGTGTTTTCTCATCCATTATATTTTTTAGGGCTTTATTTGTGGCTTTTCTGTAGCCACTGGAGCTGCCTCGCGTTTAATCTCTGGCTATGACAGTTATGGGAATATTTGTGGACAGAAGAATGCACAGGTAGAAGGCTTCGCAAACAGTGGTTTAGACCATACCAACCGCAAGTAAGTAAAATGTATTTGAAAGTGTGTGTGTGTGTATATAGATGTGTGTGTGTATGTGTAATTTATTTACTAAACCTGGGTAGTGCAAGATCTGGTGCAGCTACACATGGTATCCAAGTTTGTTCAGTTAAGCTTTGACAAAAACCTAGAAGCTGATTGGTTTCTATGCAGAGCTGCACCAGATTTTGCCAAGGACCACTCGTGGAGAGCTTCAGAAAGACCTGGAATTAGCAGGTACAATGTTTCAAGGAAAATAATAAGTAGTGCACTCAATCGCCATGGTCTGTGTGCACGCTTACCACGCAAGACTCCATTGCTGAAGAAAAAGCATGTTGAAGCTTGTTTAAAGTTTCCTGCACAACATTTAGACAAATGTAAAATAGTGGGAAAATATATTCTGGTCAGATGACACCAAAATTGAACTCTTTGGATGCCATAATACACACCATGTTTGGAGGTCAAATGGCACTGCACATCATGCCAAAAACGCTATAACAGTGAAGTTTGGAGGTGGGAACATCATGGTGTAGGGCTGTTTTTCAGCATACAGTACTGGCAAACTTCATATCATTAAAAGGAAGGATGAATGGAAAAAATGTACCAAGACATCCTTGATAAAAATTTGCTGCCATCTACCAGGATGATGAAGATGAAATGAGGGTGGATATTTAAGCAAGACAATGATTTCAAACACAAAGCTAAGGAAACTCCTCAACTGATTTCAAAGAAATGAAAAAAAAAAAAGCTACAATAGTGGCCGAGCCAGTCACCTGACTTGAAGCCAGAAGAAAATCTATGAAAAAAGAACTAAATATCCGAGTTCATAGAAGAGACCAATGGAACCATCAAAATTTAAAGACTCTGTGGAAGAATGGGTCAAAAATCACACTTGCGCAATGTGTGTGACTAATTCTCCATACAGGAGGTATCTTCAAGCTGTCATTACAACAAAGGAAAGTGCAAAGTATTAAATAAATTTCAGTTAGCGTGTTCAGTACTTTTTCCCTGTGTCATGCCATTTTATTGTACATAACTAAATTTCAGAATTTTTGTTTTCTTTGTATGTTTGGTATGCATGGGTTGTTACCGACGTCATGAAAATTTTAAGTCAATAGCAACTTTAGAAATATATTTACCAAGAAAATTGGTGCCGTGTTCATTGTGTGTGTGTGTGTTACCAAGAAAAATGATAACATGTGCAATACTCTTCTTTTTTTTTCTTTTTTTTTTTTTTTTTCACCTGCTGTGTGTGTGTGTGTATGTACATTATGTTGCCAAAAGTATTGGGACACCCCTCCAAATCATTTTGTATTTAGGCATTCCAATCACCTCCATGACCACAGGTGTAAAAAAATCAAGCACCTAGGCATACAGACTGCTTCTACAAACATTTGTGAAAGTATAGGTCGCTGTGAGGAGCTCAGTGAATTCTAGCGTGGTACCGTGATAGGTTGTCACCTGTACAAGAAGTCCATCCGTGAAGTTTCCTTGCTGCTAAATATTCCACAGTCAGTTGTTAGTGGTATTATAGCAAAGTGGAAGCAACTGAGAACAGCATCTCAGCCACCAAGTGGTAGGTCACATAAAATGACAGAGCAGGGTCAGCACATGCTGAAGTGCGCAGAAGTCGCTAACTGTCTGCAGAGTCGATAGCTAAAGACCTCCAAACATTGTGTGGCCTTCAGATTAGCACAACAACAGTGCATAGAGAGCTTCATGGAATAGGTTTCCATGGTTGAGCAGCTGCATCCAAGCCTTACATCACTAAGTGCAAAGCGTTGGATGCAGTGCTGTAAAGCACGCCGCCACTGAACACTAGAGCAGTGGAGGAATTTTTTTTCTCTGGAGTGACGAATCATGCTTCTCTGTCTGGCAATCTGATGGACGTGTCTGGGTTTGGCGGTTTCCAGGAGAACAGTACTTGCCTGATTGCATTGTGTAAAGTTTGGTGGATGGGGGATTATGGTGTGGGGTTGTTTTTCAGGGGTTGGGCTTCACCTCTTCGTTCCAGTGAAGGGAAACTCTTAAGGCATCAGCATACCAAGACATTTTGGACAATTTCCTTCTCCCAACTTTGTGGGAACAGTTTGGGGATGGCCCTTCCAACATGACTGCGCACCAGTGCACAAAGCAAGTTCCATAAAGACATGGATGAGCAAGTTTTGGGTGGAGGAACTTGATTGGTCCTGACCTCCACCCGATATGGGATGAGTAAGAGTGGGATGAGTAAGAGTGGAGACTGCCAGCCAGGCCTTCTCATCCGACATCAGTACCTGACCTCACAAATGCACTTCTGGAAGAATGGTCAAACATTCCCATAGACACACTCCTAAACCTTGTGGACAGCCTTCCCAGAAGAGTTGAAGCTGTTATAGCTGCAAAGGGTGGGCCAACTCAATATTGAACCCTACGGACTAAGACTGGGGTGTCGTTAAAGTTCATGTGCGTGTAAAGGCAGGTGTCCCAATACTTTTGGCAATATAGTATGTGTGTGTGTGTGTGTGTGTGTGTGTGTGTGTGTGTGTGCAGGTGAAATTTTTGTGCTAATTCTTCCCCACTCTTTTTTTACAATAGCAAACATTTCTGGTTGGAGTTGGGATTTAAATTAAACCTCTTATCAATTTATAGGCCACTACTATTTGGCGACCTGGCCAAATAGTAGTGGCCTATAAAAGTGTTATACTAGAAGTGTCCTTTTTAGCAGCTCCATAAGTCGATCCCTCTCTCGTATTTCATTGATGTTGATGTATTTTTAAGTGCATTACTTGGCCCTTAAATCCAAAATATAATTTAATTGCCCCTAGTTGATGTAATCACAGCTTCTATATAATCACCACATAAATCGCAATGTGAGAACTTCTGGCCATTTTTTTTTTTTTCCTGTTAATATCTTGTCTAACATACCTCATACCTCCCCATTCACATTTTCTGTAATGCTGGATTGCGCAAATTACTGTGTGCACTGCTTAAGCGAATAAAAACACATTAAGATCTGGATGGTGTGCAGTGGTGCTATTAATTGTTACAGGCACACCTATGCACCTTAATAATTCATCTGTGTTGCAGCATACCATAATGCACGGTAACTACTTGCCATGCATTGTGGTGTGATGCATTTTAGAAAAAAGGTATAAGCATTTTTTTTTTTCATTTTGGTTTCTGTGTTTTGTCCATTAAAATGAATAAGGTGCTTTAACTTAACGCACATTATCATGCATAAAAATGTGCATTACCATAATACATACTGTGGATGTGAAGCTAGACTGACTCTTCTGTGTATTTTTAAATTGCTTTGCTGCTTCCCTTGTGATTAAGCTATTGTATTCTAAGCAATCAAAAAAACATGTATTGTTTTATGGTTTGATAGACACCCAAGATAATTACTTACTTTTCTTATTTGTTTAGGTACGTATTCTTTCTGGATCCTTGTAAGCTGGACTTGATAAACCGAAAAATAAAATCTATAGCATTGTGTGTTTCCCAGTGTCCGCAAGAGGAGCTTAAAACATTGTCTGATGTTCAGAAATTTGCTGAAAAAAATGGTACGTGTTCTAGATCATCTGCCTTTTATTGGAATCCGCACGTTAATAAGAAAACAAAATCTTTATTAATATAGCTAAAGGTTTTCATTGCTTTGGGTAAAGTAAGACCTGTGGGCTTACTCAAACTTTTTGTTTTTAGCTTTTGGATAGACTAAAGAGTACATTATTATGGTGGTGGTTCTTTTTTCTGTTAATAAGAAGAGTAATATATATTTTTGTGTCTATGTGCCATTTCCTGTCTTGAGAAATAACAGTAAGGAGATCCTCTTAGACAAATTACTGGTACAAATGCTTACTTTGGAAGATTGCTTCTGTACTCCTGATTCATTGACAAAAAAATACTTTTAGATTTTCTTTAAATAGAAACAGATTTTTTTTTTTTTTTTTTTAACTTTCAATTAAATTGCGTGGGCTGACCATACATGCCTAGGTCTCCACATGCAATGCTCCCACTTCAAGTATCCAGTGCATTAGGCAGAAAAGAATTGAGCTGTGTAGACGGCAGTAACAAATAGAGGCATATATTGCTACATAACTATTTTTTCCAACTTGAAAAATCTTTGGAATTAGTTTACAATCAGGATCTGTTCTCCATAGCATCATCAAACACAACAGCAACAGTATTTAATGCCACTTAGTCTGATTAAAACCTGTCATTTTAATGGCAGGTAGCAGCAGTGCAGTAATGCATTCATACTCAGTTGGCTGTCTCCCTGACAGTTTATTCATAGTGAGATAGTTGCCAATCTATAGCCTCTCTGATCTCTGTACTGTAGCAATCCCTTTTTTTTTTTCTTGGCAGTTTCATTAGCTTGTATCTAAAGTCTCAAAATATGTAAGTACCAGCTCCACGGACCCATAAAACACTGCAAGGACTCTTTTATGACCCGCTGTGAATGGAGATGAATACATACATTTCTTTTTTACTGCTGTAGATGTTAATCCTGATGGAGAAATACAAAAGAATAACAGTCAGGGAAACAATTCTGGTCCATGCTAGTGTAAAAGTCTTTGCTCCAGTTCACTTTATTAAAAAAAAAAAAGAAAAAAAAATGTAGCATGAGTGGTATTGTGCTAAATATTTTAGGTATTGGCATTTTAATGCATTTCACAAATATAAACATCTATGTCCTCAAGTACAAAGATCAAAAAAATTAACTTCTAAAATGAATGACTGCTCTAAGGATAGGTTCACATCTATGCAGATTGCTTTTTGCTGCATTTTCCAGGTGCATTTTGTGGGGGGGGGCTTTCTATACTTGTTTTTGATGCACTTTGCGCGACTGGTTGTTAAAAAGCGGTCGACTGCTGGCGTCCTTAACAACCAGTAAACATGCCCCAGCATTCCCCGGGTAATGGTGTCACAAGGGATGGGGTCAATGGGTGAATCCACCCCTAAGCTTATTAAAGAGCTGTCAGGTGGGAACCTTCGGGTCGGTGGTGGTGTTCGTCATGATTAACGTTGGATCTACTTCGGGGGGGGGGGGGGGGGGGGGGGGGGGGGGGGGGCAATTTAAAAAAATGTTTTTAAATAAAGGACTTTTGTCAAAAACTGTCATTTTGTTTTTATTCACCTTTTTTACACTTTTTTTGGTGAATGAGTAGGGGTACTCATTCTCATTCACATAGGTGGGGTGGGATATGGGGGACACGTGTGCTCCTCCCTTTTTTTTTTTTTTGGCTGTTTAATTTAGCTGTGAGGTTCCCTTTGAGGTTTTCTTTACATCCAGCTGTCAGGTTTCTTGACTCATCAGTTTTTAACAAATTTAATACCGGGCAATTTTACACCTTCCTGCCCAGGCCAGTTTTCAGGTTTCAGCGCTCTCACATTTTGAATGACAATTGCGCAGTCATACAACATTGTACCCAAACTAAAATTTTATCATTTTCTTCACACAACTAGAGCTTTCTTTTGGTGGTATTTAATCACCACTGGGCTTTTCATTTTTGGCTAAATTAACAAAAAAAGACCAAAAATTTTGAAAAAAAAAAACACATGTTTTTCTTTGTTTCTGTTATAAAAGTTTGCAAATAAATAATTGTTCTTCATAAATTTAGGCCGAGATGTATTCTGCTACATGTCTTTGATGAAAATAACCCAAATTAGGATGTATTTTTTAGTTTGTAGGAAAGTTATAGAGTTCACAATCTATGGGATATATCTGAATATTGATCAATCCTGAAGTACTGACAGCCAATCTAATTTCTTGAGGTCCAAGAATGTCAGAACAGTACAGATATCCCCCAAATGACCCCTTTTTGCAAAGTAGACAGTCTGACGTACTTCATAAGAGGCATGGCGAGTTTTTTTGTCATAATTTTTCGGAAAATGAAAAAATTAAAAAAATTAGTTTCACTATTTTTTTTTTTTTTTTTAACATACTGTCACCAGTGCAGTACAGCGTGATCATATAACTGGCATGGCGGTGATCAGGGACACTGATTGGTGACCGTATGGAAAAAAAAAAAATATATATATATTTTTTTTATTCCCTTTTTATTAAATTTTTTTTTTCTTTTTTCTAAGATTTTTTTTTTTTCTTTTCATATTTCACTATGACCAAAGTAGTACAATGTTACCATAGTAACATTGTACTACTTTGGGGAAGTGATCAGTATATATTTTTATTTTTTTTTTTTTTTTTTTACACAGTTTGCTTATAGCAAAGAATTACTTTGCTATAAGCAAGCATTTACCTGAATGACATCGATTCATTAATGGTTTTTCTTTTTTTTCTTTTTCTTTTTTTTTTGTGCTTAGCTGTGATTTGTCCACAGCTAATCACATGACATGTGCATGTGATTAGCTGTGACAATTCACAGCTAGACACTAGTATACAATGGATGGCATGAATGAAGCCATCCATTGTATACAACTATCATGTGACCTACTGTGATTGGTCACAGCAGGTCACATGGTACCAGCAACGGGGGCTGATACTCAGATCTGTCATCGGCCGTGTCCGAGGTACACGGCGGGTGACAGATCGTGCCGCTGCATGGCTCTGCAGGAGCGCAATCTGCACATGTGCGGGAGGACGCCACATGGCGTCCACCCGGTCCACTTTTCCACAGTTGCCAACATTTAAAAAAAAATGTTTAGGGACACCTTTTTATTTCTGTGTCCAGAAAGCCACGTTAGGTGGAGCATGTACTTTAACCATTTGCCGCCATTCGGCCATAGGGCGGGCGGCAAATGGTTAAAGTACATGCTCCGCCTAACGTGGCTTTCTGGACACAGAAATAAAAAGGTGTCCCTAAACATTTTTTTTAAATGTTGGCAACTGTGGAAAATGCACATGTGTGAACCAGACTTAAGAAATGCTATAAAATATATTAGAATGATTATTAAAATAACATTGTCTTGGTGAAGCCTATTGATTTTTGTTTACACATGGGAAGTAAGAATAGCCTGTTTCCCTTCCTTTTGTCAAAAGTAGATTACTGATTTTCCTTTTGCCAGTTGCCAGGCTCTAGCGTAAATGCTTTGGGAAATCCACACGTATTCAGACTATAAGTCATTGAAACTTCAGAAATAACTCAGAAGAAAAGATACTATTCGGTCAACATGGCATTCTTGGCAGACAGCCACAAGAAAAGAGGCACATGTTAAAACAAAGGCAGTTGTACTATTTGCCATGTGATTGGAATTGTGATCTTTGGTTGTGATAATCATGAGCTTTGCTTTACCTTCGCAGGGTCAAATCTTTGTGATTATGCACTATCCCCTAGCCAGTACACGAACAGTATGAAAGCATCATCTCTGTGCCCGAAGCTTCCAGTGCCCGTGAGGTGAGTTAAGATGGTTACAACCATTCTGTGTGATTTCAACCATAACTGCTTTGAACTTTTTTTTTTTTTTTTTCCTTTTTTTTGTTAACCATCTTTATAACAACCTTACAAATGTATTATCTCAGAATTATTATCATTATAGTATAGTGTGGGCTGGTGATCTCACGTCTGGCAATAGTAATGTCACGGGAAGGATTGACTTTTTTATTTTTTTTTATTTTTTAAGTCTTTGATTTTTAGTCATTTGGCTTTGGTGGGTAAATGATATTTATGCCATCAAAAAAGTTACATCCTGTTTGTGATACCCATCATCCGGAGCTGTTGTACACATCTTGTGTTTTATTCCTTTAATGAAATTAATGAAAGTGTATGCCATTACATACACAGGAAAGCATTTTGGATGAATCCTGCCTCGGCACTCAGAATTAATTTACTGGTGTTTGCAGTACAACCATGTCAGCTAACTTCCTGTTTGCTTTATATACTTACTGCGTGGTGATGCTCTATTCACTGTTAGAGCTTGGTTGTGGTAAAACTGATTTTATTAAAAGAACATCAGGTTGGCATAAAAATGGATGGTGCAGCAAAAGTTTTATATTTTCCATTACTTTCTCCTTAAATTTATGCATTGACAGTATGCTGCCATCAGAAGCAAATGAGAAGGCTAGAAACCTCAAATCCAATTGGCGATCATGCCAAATTCTGGTAAGCAACAACACATTAGGTGTTGGCTTCTAGTAGTATAAATTGTTCCAAAAATTGAGGTTATTTTTGAGGGAGAAAGTATTTTTATTCTCCAGGTTTCCTTAAGATTTGTTTAGATTTAAGCTTGTTGGAACTGCACACACTTTTTTTTTTTTTTTTCTAAAACCAGTAAAAATATTTACAGCTGCCCATACATAATGCATTTAGTCTTTTTTGAAAAAAAAAAAAAAACTTGAACATGAAATATTAAAGTTTTTGTTTCTATTCTAGACATACATTTTGGATTTTTAATGGTAAATGTGATCAAAAAGTAAATTAATATTTTTTTTTCTCAAAGTTTTTACATGACTGTATAAAGGATAAGTTCACCTTTCTTCTTGCAGGTAAAAAAATGTGCATTTATTCTTTTTTTGTATTAGGAGTCTGTAAAGCATTGCACCAGTGATCAGCAGATCTCTGATGCCATGCAGGTCACCTGCAGACCTGTTAGTTTATCTGCTTGCTCCTACATCTCGTATGGGCAAGTCAATACTTCTGACAGGAAGAATCAATAAACTCACAGCGCCGTGGTAGTTCATTGAAAACTACAAGCCGACAGCCGCTAAGGCTGTGCACACTGTGAATGAATGACGCTGCCATGTGGTTGGAGCTCCCACATGCTAATATGTTTTTATAAAGTGACGGCTGGTACGGGGAGCTTCTGTACTTCCGTTACTGCTGTCACTGGGAGGGGGGATATGGCGGCGGCTGCAGGATTGGGAACAAGTTGTGTGTTCCACCCTAAAAACGGGTGGAACATGTAACTTGTTCGCAAAGTTGAAACTTATCCTTTAAAGTGAAAACATGATTTTGTGTTCTCTAAATAATCTATGCTTTTTTTTTTTTTTTAAAACACTAACCACATTGTCCAATTTATTGAATAAATTTTTCTGGAAAGTCAATGAATATTGTATCTGTGATTTGTATTGTTTTCCCTCATACAGTTGCACTTTGGCATAAAATTTATTTTTTAATTTTTGATACAAGGTAGATTTTTTTTTTTTTCCTTTTTATCCCATAGTATGTGTTGTGAAGCCTCATATTATTAGGAGTTGAGACCCTAGCTCACATAATGGAAAACGTCAACAGACAATCTTAACCCCAACTGTTTGCCAGCACAAAATTAAATGAGAATTTTCGCACAGACCTTAGAACTAGTAGAGTTCTATTTAAGATGTCTGAACTGATTTCTGATACTGGCAAAGAACAGATACTGCATTTATGCACCTGTACATTTTAGTCTAGTCCTCCTTTGTTTTGATATTTTCTGTATATAGTATAGGGCATGACACAAAAAAGCACATTTATCGACCTTCTTTGCTCTATTGGCTGAGCTTCTGGCATGATTATAAACAAGTTAAAGTTCAGCTGCAGCACGCCTAATTCTTTCCTGTTGATAATATGATTTCAGCTCATCTTTGTAAAGCAAATTGATGATTGAGTTCTCTTATAAAACACTTAACATTTACAAATGCACATAGCGCAGAAACAACCATTGCCTGAAACCAGTTTTATGAAAACATTACTACAAATATTGGGGTGAAAATATAGATTTACATATGATGGCTTTAAAATGTTTAAATACCAAAGTATTTATTTATTTCAGGTACTTATATAGCGCTGTCAATTTACACAGCTCTTTACACACATATATATATAATATATATATATTGTACATTCACATCAGTCCCTAACCCTCAAGGGGTGTACAATCTAAGGTCCCTAACTCACATTCATACATACACATATTAGGGCCAATTTTAGACAGGATCCAATTGACCTACCAGCATGTCTTTGGAGTGTGGAGGGAAACCGGAGCACCCAGAGAAAACCCACGCACCCAAGTACAGGGAGAACATGCAAACTCCATGCAGGAGGCACCATGGTCGGGAATCGAACCCATGACCCATTTACTGCAAGGCAGACGTGCTAACCACTAAGCCACTGTGCCGCCCATGTAAAAGATAACTGGTAAATTGCTGGCACTATAACTTGGCTACATAAATAAACAAGATAAAAAAAAAAAAAACATGAGTTATGTTTATGCATCCTTCAGTTTTTGTTCGCTTAGTCTTCAGAACAGTGTGTTAAGAAATGGCTGTAACAAATACAACTTTAGTTCATCAAAGAGTTCTAATTCTTAAGTGTAGTAATCCATGGCAACCAATCAATTCTTGTAATAGCCTGACTTCAGCAGAATGATTTCTGATTTATTGCTGTTGACAACCACGGTTTATTCTGTTGAAGTCAGATTAGTACAAGATGGTTTTTCCCATTTGTTGCTGTTCACAATTTTTAAACTATATATTATTTTTGAATAAAGCTGATGGCCTTAAGGCATGAAAGTCAGTTTTCCATTAATGCTCACAAACTATAGGATACATGTATGGTATCCAGTCTGTGTGAAGTACAACTTTTACTAAAAACGTAGCCCCAATACACATAGATGTAAGTAAGAACCTGGGTGGGGTCTATCTTAGATTACAAGAATAGGAATGGTGGCCATTTTTTTTTTCATTTTTTTTTTTTTCTTTTTAGTAAACATTTTGTCTTTCTGGATAATGGAGGGAAGGTTTAGAACCCCCTCTAGGCTTTAATTATGGTTTCTTTCCCTCCCTGGAGTGATTTGGTTTACTTTCTGCTTTGGCCAATGCCATAAAACAGGAATTTTGGGATATTGAACCCAGACAACAATTTAAACCATTTTTTGTTTATCTTTAGTATTGTTTGACAAAACACACCAAGAGTGATGGCAGTAAGAATAAAAATCAAAATTGATGTGTTCTGTACTGCTCTACTAAGGTAAAGCACAAAGAAAAAATACTTTCTAAATTGTGAGTCCTGTGCCTATTAAATTCGCAAACAATCTGTGCTCAGACATTTTGTGCATCCAGCCACATCAATGCCAAAAACAATCTGTGTGCGAAGTGTGATCCAATCCAGAATGATTCAAAGATGGCATGAAGACCACCACCAGAAACCCTTAAGGGTATGCACTCCTCTCCATAGATGGGCCTTCATTATCGGGGCTAGTAGACCCTTTAAAAAAAAAATGAGCCAAGGATTTCAAATGGCCACTGCCATTTATTTATTTATTGGGCAGTGATGTGGTTGAATTCACTGAATTTTGAGCACAGATTGTTTTGGACTTTAATAATAACCATAGTGCTCACATTTTATGTGTTTTTATATATATTTTTTATTGATTTCACATTTTAAATAGTGATTTGATCTTCAAAGTATTTAGAAAGTATTGTTTTTTGTTTTTGTATGCTTTTTATTAGTGGAGCAGCACTGAACACATCAGTTTGTTTTGATCTTTTACACTTTTTTGTGCTTGCAGCTTACAGGTATATTTTGGTATAGGTATATTTTGATGTGCAAACCTATCTTAATTTTGTGTTTTGTAAAAGGCTAGAAGTACATATTTTACATGCGAACCATACACGGTTTAATTTTTTTTCATTCCTTCTCTTCTTCAGATTTACCAAATCTAAATAATAAGAATTTCCCTACATTTTTTCATTCAGCTTGTATCCAATCAGGCAGTCCCTTTTACTATATAGATGTTGCTGGATCTAAAAGATTGTACAAATAGAATATATCACCAGTTTAAAGGGACACTGGCAATACTTTTGCGAATGCTGACTTTTTGGCTGTCATTTTGGCACTTTTTCTTCAAAGTTGTATGACTAACTGACACAGAAGAGCTATAGTTCTGACAACTTTTCTGTAACCCCCATGCTTGTCTCAGAATTGTCAATAAAACATGCCAAACGCAGGCACTGCCAGGCATCTAGCATTTTTAGAAGGTGGCCTGCAGTGGCAGCCTCCCAACTTCTCTCTTGACAGTCACTTTTAAGAGCCAATGACTAGAAGAGTGGAGAAACTATCACCCTAGCAGTTTGGTTCCAAGCATACAGACCCAGAGTGGGAGCACTACACGCGTACACTACTCCACAATAAAGGTGCACAAACAGAAATCTGGCACTGAGGAGCATAAAACTGAGATTCTCTCAGAGGCTGAAGGAAGAGGAAATAAAAAGGATAATGTGTGGCTTTGCCTTCACAAGTATTCCTAATTTACATTACCATTTGACAGCATTTGAAAAAAAATGGTACCCATGCCAAATTCGTGCATGAGGCCAGCCATTCTCAATCCTTTTTGTTTACCTCAGAGAAAGCCTTGAAATTTTCAGACCTTGAGAAACCCCTGCTAAAGCCAATGCATTGTTGGTCAGTGAGTAAAATACCTC